AGCAAGGAACACCCGATTAAGCGTCCAGCTTTTCGACTCCCTCTCTTAACACGCGCGTCATAAACCTGGTCGCCACTTAAGCTGGATGAAAGATCACTCAGAGTTGTAGACCGTGTAGGCTAAAGGACGATGGTAGGAAGCACCTCTTATCACGCAAGTGAGGAAACCCTACAAAGACCCGGCCTAGGCCAACGATCAAAAATCAACGACGTCGTTCTACACGTCATATTTTCAAAGACAAGGTAGGCTGGGCATGCAATGCGCATGAACAACAACCGATGGTCATGAGCCGTTTGTAACTGAATTCCTCGCAATGCTAAGCGTACTGCAGGAAGACTACCGACCTGATAGTCACAGTTCTTCACGAAAAGCCTAGAAGAACGATACGATGCTCAACGAGTTCCTAGAGCGAGCAGGACCCAATGGGGAACTCACTCATGCGATGGGGAAAAAATGGAATATTTACTGGCTCTCGCTCTAGTCACTCGACGATTAACACGGCTACAGGTGATAGAGTTGATGCACCTAATGCATATTTAGTCTGCGTATTAAGTGTCAGTTGTTTTCCAATCTATCAAGCTAGTGTTTTCATCCTTTAGCCTAAGTGCAGTTTCCATCTGTCAATTCCCACAGAGGTTGACGGCTTGATCTGCACAAGGAAATTGAACCAACGACCCACATATGTGTTTCAAAGCAGCCCCAACGAATGCACTGTATGTGTCTTTAACACAAGCAGTGCGCACTTAATAGAATAATCCAATGAGGCGCAAGTAGACGTTTAAGACGAATCGAAAATTCTCACATGTTTCCGCGATTTCAAAATCGCTCCTTAGATTAAAACTAATCCCGAGATAGAGGTGGATTGATCCAATGATAGAATTTGTTTACGCAAAACACCTTGAAAGTGTCATTGTCTCTATTTTTGAGAGTCAGACCTTTTTTCGGTATCAACGATTCGTACTTTTAGCTTTTCTTTTTACAAATTATTGTGGTTTTTTGCTTCGGCAAAAGTCAGCTGAGTGTACATTATCAGTTCTCACTCTTTGATAAGCATAGTCATTGCCGTATTTTCCTACCATCAAATTGAAACGCGAGCATTCACTAACGACAGCTTCGAATTCAAAATTAACACGTTAATTATTTTCCCAACTAAATCACTTCATGTTGACTTTTTTTATTTACTGCCTACTAGCAGTTTTCACGGCAGGATATTACGTGTGATACAACTACAATGATGCCGAGATATTTTGCAAAACTCCGGACCGCAGGTGTCCGCGGTGGGGAACGAAGGCGCTATTATCCTTTCCGGAGAGTAACGTGTTCACCACCGCACCATGCGGATCCAACGTTTTGCCTGCCTGCCAGCAAGTTCTATGTTCTATTCCTGCAACATACCCTGCCGCTAAAAAAGAATAGGCAGTAAATAAAGAGGTTAAGAATGTGATTGTAACTACAGCCTCCGCTTAACTGGGTTCAATGCCGATTTGAGCTTCCCAGATCAATCCTGTTGACGGGTGATTGTTGATGGCAAAAGATCAATAGAACTACCTGAGAAACATGCGAAGCCAAGAACCCGCATAATGTGGTGGTGAACGCGTTACTCACCGGAAAGGATAATAGCGCGTTCGTTCCCCACCGCAGACACCTGCGGTCGGGAGTTTTGCAAATATCCCAGCATTATAGTAGTTATTATATTTCGTAAAAGACCCTGCCGTTAAAAAGAATAAACAGTAAATAAAAAGGTTAAAATCGTGATTAAAACGAAATAGTTTTTTCGCTCATTCACCACTTTCTATGGGTGTTCCACTGAGTATTTCATGTAGGGGCAACCATATAGAGCTCACGTGGAAGCGTAATGTTCCTCTCATATTAAAATATCATTTTTAAGCACTGTGTGATCACGCATGATTACGAGATATTTCTCCTTGCCGTCGTTTCTGGTCTCCTTGAATTTGTCCAGAATTCGCTTCCTCATGCATCTGCTTAACCTCCTGTGCGAGGAATGCTTTTGAAACCAAGTCCAGGTCGGAAATCCATCCTTTCCAAAACTCTAAAACATTTTTGCACCTAGCTTAAATAACATCGTTTCTGATCGGCAAAATGTGTGCATTTTAGTGGTTCTATTTTTTGGGAAATAAAGTTTATTCTGAACTGAGAGACACCAGTTTAAAATTATACGTTGAGATCGAGTATTAGTCTGCTCGTAAGGTCCTCTTATCAACCCATTTCAAAATTAATATTTTCTGAAACTGCCATGCTAACATGAGCCTAGTATAGAGGATTTATTCGTCTAACGTTCCGATGTCTCTGTCTTCTTCAAAGCCAGATTGATCCGAGTCGATGGATCAGAGTTCGGCCACCTTACAATGTTGCATCGAGTCGAATTCTGTCGAAGGGGCATCGCTTGAATAGGGAACCTCACTCGGCAGCGCCCTTCTATACAGCATGGATGTTGGACGAGTAAGGAAGACCACCTGCGGCCCATCTACTCGGATCAATCCGGCCATGAAAAAGACGAAGACGTCGAATCCTTCGCCGAATATATCCCCTATACCAAGTTCGAGTTGGCTGGGCAGTGCTTGAAAATACCCATTATTCTTACTGAGGTTAAATGATGGTCGGTTTTTGGAATATAGGTATATCGAAATCCTTCGACGATCTTTTTTTCGGCTTCTTTTCTTTGCTACCGTTTAAATTATATAACCTATTTCCGTGTCGCCTTCGTTAATTCATGCTGCAGATAGTAAGAGAGCAAATAAAGGACAATAGCTAATGCTATTAATATAGAAGTATAGCGAAAAAATATGTATTTGATATTTTTCAACAACTGAAAGGAGTAATTTTAAAATGAAAGGAAAAGTTTTCTTATCTATTGCGTGTGCCGAACCGATGTTTGTTGTGAACAAATAATAGCACTGACCTCAACACCGTCGAGCCAACTATCCTTATCAAATCATATCAACTCGTCAGCGTTTTTCGTTTACCAATTCAATGATTCTCTTTTCATTTAACGAACAATATAACTCTTATTAGTTCTTGAAAACCATTATATTATCTGTTAAATCTACTGCATATTTTCTACCATATCTAATTTACGGAGATGTGTGTGGCACAGTGGTCGGAGGTGCCCTGCAACACACATGTGGAATCGATCCCCGCGCCCATGGCCCACCAAACCCTCCATCCCTCCGGGGTCGGCAAAGTGGTGTCAGACTTGTGTGGGAGGATAGCAGCACTGGCTCGATACAACGGTTTGCCACCGCGAGTCATTTTAAAGGCCAGATATGCATTCGATCACCTCCAAACGATGCTTAATGAAGTTGAATACATGGTGCATCCCTCAGGATTGATCAACGCCGAGGGCTTCATCCAGAGCTTACGAGCTTTATTTAGTTTACTTTGGATGCGTGTAGCGCAGTGGTTAGTGGCGTGCTGCAACACACCAGGGATCGATCCCGTGGCCCAGTTTCACCGAGCATTTCATCGTTCATGGTGTGTACGGAACCTAACTGGAACGATAGCAACACTGATTCGGTACATCGGAAGGCTATTACAAGTCACTGTATGAGCCAGATAAGCATTCAGTCTCCTCTAACGATGCTTATAGTCGCCTGCGTGGCGCATCCCTGAAGGCCTATTCAGCACCGAAAGCTTTATTAATTGATTTTTTTACTATATACATTATACATACTGTATGTATGTAGTAGAAGAGAGGAATGCCCTGCAATACGTGCGCGGTCGTTGGTTCGAGCCCGCGCAACTGAGAAAGCAAACCCTCTACGCTTCCGAGGTAAGCAGATTGATAGTAGACATATCTGAGAGTAAAACCACCGATTGGACTCTTCCAAAGGCTTTTACATGACAGGGTATAGATTAAATGTGCACTCAGTAACCTCTGCTATGCTATGGATGTGGTCGAAAACATGATGCGTTACTCAGAGAATCAATACGGAACGCTTTATTTTTTATTCTCCATATTTAGCAGTCTTCATAAGAATGCTCTTATTTCATTGGCTTCCACCAAGTCATAGTCATCCTTGGCACTAATTTTTCACGAATACAGAGAAAGATACGATAAATGTCTAGGTTTATCAAGCTCTTCGTCACTTAGCGGTGTAGTGAACTGGTGGTAAAAATACAGTGAAAGAAGATTGTTTTCCTTCTTCGTCGATAGTTAAGCTGTAACCACCTGCAGATAGTCTGTAGTGCTATTTTCCACTGTATTTATAGTTCATGATTTGATCTTTGTGCTGTACTCCATAGAACGGGTTCCATTCTGTGTGACTGGCTTCGCCTAAAGGTCTGTACAAAAGCACTTCTGCTTTTGATTATTCTGCTTGAAATTTCTGTTAATATGAACTTGATTTGCTTAATGACTTATAGAACAGCAGAAGTACAACACAACCAATTCCACGTAATACGCTGCTACGAAAAAATAATAGCCATTGAGTAAGAATTAAAAAATTACAAGTCAACATCTACTCCTTCTTTGATAAGCTTACATGAGGTTGATAAACAATTTTTATTCGGCTAACGTTTTGACGTCTTCGTCTTCTTCAGAGCCGACGATCCGAGGCGATAGTCGACGGTTGAAGACGAAGACATGGAAGCGTTGTCCGAATAGAAATTGTTTGCCAACCTCGTGTAGGCTTATCAAGGAAAGAATAGATGTTGATTAGTAGGACCGAGGTTAAAGGAAAGTTGGTTTTGAAATATTACAAGTCAATGTTGAAAATAGGTCCGAAATCAATTTGTACTTCAATAATGGGGGAAGGAAGACTTGTTTTAGCAAATGATGGAGGTCATCGAACCAGTGAACTGCATGAACCAGCGACTGTCTGTCCATTGCTGTCGTCATGTTCGGCATGGATTGATATGGCTCATGTCACCAATCCTAATTCCTTAGTACTCAGTGATAATGTAGACATAATTTCCTCTCTTTTGTGGTTGCGTCTTTAATTTTGTCATTAGTTAAGTATTAATTCATCTCATTGAAGACAATGATTTTGCTCCTGTTTCTGATTGGCACCGTGACATTGGCTCGTGAATATCTACCGTTAAACAGAACTCCTAAGTGGAAAACGAACAATCCAAATTATGGACCAGATTTCGGACAACCAGAACAAATTCACTTGTCGTTAGGAGGTTTGTTGAAACATTAGAATTTTTCCCACTTTTTTTTCCTTCGCCTATCTTTCACTTTTTCGTCCAGAAGTTAGGAACAAAGTGTCATGTAAATACGCTACTAATAACATATTCGCGACTAGCCGCGTTGGGTGTTGTGTGCAAGTCCTTTTCAGCTGTGTACGTTGTTCCAAAGAGCTTTTTGCTGCACCTTTTTGTAGTCTATTGATAGCCTCTCCAACACAGATGCCATGTTAGATGCAAGTCCTAAAAAGCTATTCTCTCTATTTAATTGTTTTCAAAAAACTTCTTTCGGACGAGTTTATTTGTCAATGAGAGATTATTGCTCTTGAAGAGAGAGAGTACAATACAGAGACTTTGGCAGGTGAAGAGGCACAGAAACACTTTTGTCTTAACAATGGTATTAGAGGCTACGCTTGGGGAAAGCTCTTCTTCCGATAAGATAATAAGTAATTGAGAACACTTCCTCAGAGTAGGTCGATGTTCACAGGGTATGCGGTCATCAGCGAGTTTCAGCACAGTGTGTAGTTCAAAACAGTTATAAAGTCTTATGTTCTTATTAAACCCTCGTTTCACCACTCAATTTATAATTCATACATATTTGCAATATATATCACAAGAGTGACCAACATTTCCGAGCCCTACTTGCAAGGCATACTTACAATCAACAATTTTTCTTTCAACTACCTGTGGTTTTAATGACTTTAGAGGAACTGTCATATTTCTCAACTTTAAGTTTCAACATCTTCATACGACTCCAAAGCCTTCGCAATTATCCATTGTCCTTTACTCAGCTCCTGGATGACCTTCTAGGCAGGTCTCTTCTCGTTTTTCCTACACCTGCCGATAAAAATCGTCCTTCGCTGCAGTATGTCCACAAAAAAAAGAATACATGTGTGCCAACTATCTTTAGCCATGGAGAGATTGCTACTAATACACACCATCATAGTGTAATGTGTATCCATCTCTCAATCACGGCCTGAATAACTTGAATCCTACTCGTGCCACTTATGTAGGAAATACTGGAGGAAGGCGACTCTCTCTATTAATAGTATAACCAATTCGTCAATACGTGAGAACTTTCCAAGCCATTGTGTTCTGCCGTACTTGTCGTTGATCAGGTTGACAAGCAGTCGATTAAGTTCCTTTAAGTCGATTAAGTCGATTAATAGAAAAATTTACGAACTCTAGACAGTGGTGGGAGCGAAAGAGCGAGAGAAGACAAAAAGACAAGGTTAAAAGAAGTCATTCAGAAATCACTATTGCGAACCTATTGACAGCTACGCTTTCCAACAAGCATAGCTCAGCTCGTGATGAAGTTTAACCCATTGAAATGAAAACATTGAGAATCCATAAATCTTTGCCTACTACGTGCAATTTTTCTTATTCTAGCGTGTTTAAAGTTGGGTTTCTGTAAATGTTACATATAACTGAACTAGGGATAAACTCCGTGATTTAGAAATTTACTACATTTCTAGAGCGATAGGACAAATCCCTTCTAGAAATATGTCATTTCGTCAGGGTCCATGGCTCTCCAATTAGCGAAAATTATGTGGATTTATCATAAAACCTGCTTCGTCCTTTATGTAGAGCATATGAAGTTCTCGTTCTAGACCGAGACTTCACTGTTTTCCAATTACAATTTTTATGAAAGATCGTCGTTGTTGTATGAGATAGTTGGACCGAAGATATACCTAGAGAGATCCATATTCTGATATCAATAGATTTGGAAGATGAACTTTGGTAAAAATATAGCATATAGTAGCCGTATCTATAGATGGAATAAAATAAAGCAAAGGCTCTTCTATAATTCTGCAATCCTACCAACAGCAAAAACCTTTTAACTATCAAAATATTTGCCATTCGCAGTCGAAAAAGCTAACATTGTCGTGTTCAAATCCTGAGCGAGTTCTACTGTTTTTTCACCCTCCATGAAATCAATAAAGGTCACGAATGCATTAAGAGTTCCATTGAGTTAGAAGACTAATTTAACCTGCATAATTTCATTATGTTCTCTTTTCATTGGTGTCAGACGAGAAGCTGAGTCGTGTAAACCTGTGTTATTGATGAACTCCTACATGTAACGAGCGCACCACGTTTACCAGCTCTGCCGCTTGGGATGCATACTTGGCTACTGGACGGCCCGTTCTCACTGATTGTGCGGATCTCATCATGTTTTCCATTTTCGGAGCTTAGCTGTCTTATCAATTGTGGTTCCCCGGAGTCCCTAGGTCAGCCAGGCGAAAGTTTGCTCCAGGTCGTCACCACTACGGGCAGTCACCGTCCATGTAAATCAGAGAGAGATTTGTCATCATGCGACAGTTTGATACCAGGACGGTGGTGGATCCTGGTGTTCGTTTACTCTTAGCCAGGCTTTCTGATGGAAACGGCGGACTCGTTCTCAGGTTTGGAGACCCCGGTCGGGGATGAATCTGCTCGCTGTACATCGACGCCCGACACCCAATGTATAGCACAACCTAGTCTACTTTACGAGTGTTGTGGACATCTAGTGAAGTAGATTCCTCGTAGAGTCCCGAGATAGCAGGGCTAAAATGTTTCGACCTAGATTGGTGAGTGCACTTCTTCCGTCGAACCAACACCGTGTTCACGATGTTCGGCACAACTGTTACTGCCACATTACTCGCAAATTAGATGCAATAGCCATGATTTTAACTTATTATTTACTGCCTACTCTTTTTAATTACTAATGGCAAAGGATCGATAAAACTAGCTGAGGGACAGGCGAAACGAAAGACTCGCATGGTGTGGTGGTGAAAGCGTTACTCTCCGGAAAGGACAATAGTGCGCTCGTTCCCCACCACAGATACCTGCGGTCCGGAGTTTTGTAAACATCTCAGCATCATTAAATCAATAGCTATGATTTATCATGGTAGTTAAAAGTGAAATTGTAGTCAGTAGTGGCTGAAAATACCGGCCAATAGAGTGGTTCATAAATGTTTTTTGCATACTTCTAAATGCAGAATGGCGCCTTCACCGACCGACCCGCGCCACCACATCAACGTTTGATCGGATTGTCTGATCAATTTGATACAAGCAGAGAATGACACATGTGAAGGTCATCCTAGCCACTCAGGAAACCGCAATGGAGCCTATACGCCCCATTCCGTTTGTTATGTGTTAAACGTTGACTAATATGCAACTTGGTAGTTGCAGTGAAAATCAGGTGGATTCCATATACCAGTTTCTGCTGTTCCGGATTAACATGTCTCTTCTGCATTCTATTCTCTTCGTAACAGCACTTATGCATGAATACAGTGCCTGATTGTATGCCTAATAGCATTTAGACCGTCGATTTTGGCTATTTCTTCAAAGGAACTGACTACGAAACGCATGGGAGTGGTTCGGATTCAAAATCAAGAAACAGTCTCCGCGCTAATATTTGAAGATTCAATATGTTACCTGTGGGCATTTACCGCCATTAGGAGAAATAATTAAGGTCTTCATTTCCTGAACCCTAAGAAGTCCCAATTCGGTAATCGTGGATAGGACGGGTAAGAAGACTGCTAAAATTTCAGGTCTATTGTAGGTGGCATAAATCTTGGAGAATTATGGTGCCTATAACTTGTAGCACGTAAATACTGGCATCTTAATATCTGGTGATGCTGGGAAAGAAGGTCAAGCACGACGTCACTGGATTAGAGGAGTCATTTCGTCGCTCCCCTTAAATTTCTTTTGCGATACCTGAGAAAATCTGTTTTCGAAACTTTGTAAATGCAACCTTAGCAATTAACCGTGATTGTTTTCAACGCCTAAGTGATTCAAATTGGTTTTTCATGCTTGGAAAGTTGTGATTAACACTGGTACAACCAATCTTTGCTGTATGCTCCTCTGTTATAAGTATGACTAAGACGAAACCGAGCATTCTATGTCCGGCCTTTAACTGTTTTACAGCGAATGTTTGCTTCTTCTAGAAATTTATCAGTGGAAATATCGACGAAAAGTAGTCTTAGGCGGACGTATGAACAGGTTCACGTGAAGACTTTTAGGTTCCCGTTAATGGAACGCAGCGTGTGACCGTTTAACTGCCCAGGTTAGTCAACGTTGTCGTCGCCCAAAACTTTCAGCATGGCTTGGTAATACCACGACTTTATAATACTTTCCTACTTTCTCATAAACGATGCATTGCTTTAAAAGAAGTCTTAAAATGTTTAGAATTAGAATTTGTTACCTCTCTCTGCCAACTTTTGGAACCGCAACACTGTCAACAAAGCCGACGTGGAATATCACTGGGTTTTTCAAAATCTTCGTGAGAGTGCTAAAAAAGCCAACAATTTGAGGTTAGAAAGAAGCAACAGTTACCGCTAACTTAGGCCTAGACATGCAAATCGCTGTATGGAAGTGACTAAGAACTCCTAAGAAGAGAAGAGAATCGGTAGTGAGTAGAGTTGCAGAAGTCTTTTGAGCGCCCATCAAAATTTTGCTAGTTAAAAGACCAAACTAGTAATCTTCGTCTGCCCAGAAGGCCAGCGGCTTCAGGTACGACATTACCAGCAACTCGCGGCCAATTTGTTTATTGTCTGTCTGCGCCTACAAGAGCTTTATTCATATTTCTACAAGCCCTTCCCAACAAAATTCGTAAAAAAAACAATGGACGAAAAATAGTCGTGTAAGAAAGAAGGATTTCGGGAAAAAAAATTCACCACCATGGATCACATTCATAACATAACAATCGCGATCAAGGGCAAGGCGCCATTTCTTCTGACTTGAATGGATTTAAACGGTTGGATTCAGTTAAAACGGAGTTTTGAAACAAAGTGCTTCAAGAAAACTCTGAATGACTAAAGAATCCTATTTCGGCACTCAAAAATTTTTGATCAGCACCACATTCTACACCACAACTTTGCAGCCGGAATTTCTCCCCATTCCCCATTCTTCACTAACACTGACATCGTCATAATGAGAAGTGTTCAACAAGGCGATACCGAATCGACAAATTTACTTTCAGCCACTGTCGAAAATGCTGCAAAATAGGATTTGAT